TTTTCCTTTTGAAATCTTTTTATTTAGCAGCAGTTCTCGAAACATAAGCTCTTCCAATGTGGCTAGGCCAAAATCTGATCGTGACAGAGAAGAATATGCGCGTTTAATGGAAAAAAACAAAACTTTGCCGGGGTAAGCTTGCAATTTTAGTTTAACTTTCGAGAATTCAAAGGGTAAACCGAAAATTTAGGTCCTCAAGACCAGCATCCAACTCAAAACCAGTCCCATCGTCAAGCTCAGTCAAGAGGCCGGAGTGTCGTTCACAGTCGTCAAATGTTCCGTCGTCGAAACCTATAACATCGTCATCAAAATTACCACAAAAGGTTCAGAATGAAAAGCAAGATGAGAAGAAGAAGGACAGTAAAGAGTGTGTCTTAAATCCAATACTTCCTCATACGTTTTCACGAAAACCTTGAAAGTTCTCGTGTTATTGCTTTATAATTGCAGTCCTAAAGGTCGATTCAAAAAAGGGCCTACCCCACCTCCAGTGATCCCACCTGCCGTTCCAGGTCGAAGGTAGTTTTTGGTTACATCTGAAAATGCTCGTAGCACACAAGATTCTGTTGTCATTAAGGTATCTTCCCGGAGACATTCGTTACAAGCAGGCAATGGAAATGGCTAAACAAGCGGGTGGAGCCTCTTCAAGTTCGTCTGTTGGTAAGTCTTTTGGTTTTCGTCTTTTTTGTTTTCTACAATATGGGTTGAAGTTTCCGCTCGTGAAGATCGACCATCTTCCTCGAAGATGCCGTCGAGTTCACGTCCTTCTGTCAAAGAGTTGGATAGACGGAAACCGATAAGTACGGAAAGAGATCGTGATCGTTTAAAAGCTGCTCGTCCAATGGAGAGGGATAGGGAGCGAGATAGGGAAAAGGAAAGGGAGAGAGACAGGGAACGAGACCGCTTTAAAGATCGCGATCGTGGACGACCCAAGTAAGGATTTTTTTCTATGGATTTCATATTTTTGCTTACTATCAGCTTTCAGCAGCCATCGTGATTATCGAGACCGTGACAGAGAAAGAGATCGGGAAATGGAACGACGACGTGAACGAGAACGAGAAAGAATTAGACGTGAGCGAGAAAGAGACCGTTACCGGCATCAAAATTACAATAGAGCATATAATTATGATGAATATGAAGATGAGGATGATGATGACGAATATGATAGCGAGCTGGAAGATTTCATCGATGATAGTGGTATGGATATGGATGAGCTCAGTCGTCAGGAGTT